CAAGAGTTGTTGGCGGCGGCGTGTGGGTGGTGGTGAGGTTGTGTATGTTTTGTGGTCTGTCGTGGTTGTGATGTGGTCTATTGTGTTGTTATGTTCTTGTGCTGTGCTCTATTTGAACAGCAGGGGGCCACAAACGACGTGGTCCACTGCCGATGTGTCCGTAATCCTGAGCAGAGTCTGAGGTGATTCCACCCCTCGCAGGCATTGCACTTGACTGAGGTGGAGTTGTGGTGTAGTCGTCTCTGGCATACACAGCAGGTGTAGGTTTCTGGCCCTGGGCTTGACTCGATGCCAGCCCTGAGCAGAAGAATACGTGGCGAATGTAGCCCTATGGACCAACAACTTCTGAGATACTTAGCCGACCTAAACGGGGTTTGATCGCCGAAACAACAGCCCTTGGTCGGGTAAAAACCGAGTCATTCCGGTACGTAAAACCGGCTGTCGTGTGAATGTGGGAATAAGCCGGTGAGGGCATGCTGGTTTCAGACACACTTGACTAAAATAAGTTCGAACGCGCTCGTTGCGTTGCGCGTGAGCCTTCAACTAAAAATAACAGTTTTCCATGTTGCGATCCATTTTTTTTCATCGACAGAATATTTTAGAGAGTAAAATATTGCATATCGTCGTTTAAAGTGCAAAACCACTTATCAACAAAATGCGAAACCGCGTATCAAGAAAATGCAAAACCGCGTATGTGAGGTTGCATACATTATTCTCTAGAGAGTAAAAACACTCATATTTCAAATGGTTCTCTTTATAAAGAAAACGCATTTCTGGCTAGTATATTTCAGGACGAATGGATAAGGATTGAGCCAAGAGCTTGTGTGAGCAAATCCAATTTTTGGCAGCCAATGCCAGTTACGCGGTTTTTGCAGAATGACGATACGCGGTTTTGTACTTTAAACGACGATATGTGTTTTTTTCTGTGTGAATAAGCGGCGGAGAAAATTATTATTTTTATATTTTTACCAACAATTTTATAAAAATTTACCCTTAAAAATTATATTAAAATTAATAAAACCATGTTCTAGAAGAAATTTTAATAACTATAAAAATAACGGTTGATTTGTCAAAATCGGTCAAATATATCGTCTGTAATTGAATTTTTTAGTAAAAAGCATAATGTAATAAATAAAGTGAAATCAATATTTGACGTACGCTTATTTCAAAATATAAATGTAAACAATTCGTATATTTGTTTACATTAACCCTCTTTCGGCTTTGGTTCACGTATGGTACAATGAAGCATATAGCAAAAGCTACATACATATGTATGTAAGAATGCGTTATGGCTTAGCGAATTCCAATACAACTTCTTTTATTGCAAGGTCATGTTGGTATGGAAAACATCATTCCCATACCCTTGAAAAGGGTCGTCGTCGCGTTGGTAAGAGAAGAGGAATAACTTATCTGCGTTGGGAACACCAAATGGAACTGACTTATAGTGATTTCGTTTCTTCAAAAAAATGTTGCCCTTCCACGGTGCAAAATGTATTTGGTGTTACACTCAACCCTGTTATAGGGTATCACTGCAAATTTAGTCCTTATTAACGCACGAAAAGCGGAAGGGGCAATCAAAAGGTGGCATTTTTTGGTAGAAACGAAAACACCATTAGTGTCACTTATCTCGGCAGCCAGTTTGAAAATGTCCTATCTAAAAAAATTTTTCAACAACCCTATATTTCAAAATTTATTTGAAGAACGCCCTATTGCAGAATTTGATTGAGATAGATTTTTAAAGTTGCAATATTTTTTTTTTAGAATTTACGCGTGTTGCACTAGAATTTCCCTGATTTTCTCGATTTTAGCAAAACCCTCAACAACCCTTTATTTCAAAATTTAGTTAAAGAACGCCCTATTACAGAATTTTATTGAGTTAGATTTTCAAAGTTGTAATATTTTTTTTTCAGAATTTATGAGAAAAAATTTCCTGATTTTCTCGATTTTAGGAAATAAATTAGTATATAGTATGTATATATATACACATTGAGATTTATTATTCTTTCTCAAATTAATTACTGCAAATCAGAACCATCTATTATTACTAAATTGGCGAAAGTATAAATTTTATGCGATACTTCACATCTGTTTGGCGCACTCCGGTTGTATTTGTTATTGGACATTATTTTCACGATATGCCTTTGAGAACATACCCATACTTTGATCATTACCTCTCATCTGATGAAATAGCAGGTAACATCTTTGATGGTACTGCATCAGGATCATTAATACTTCCATAAATGATTTCATTCGATTTGAAGTGCAGAGCGCAGTCAGTTTAACACCACACGCATTCATCCACTCCCTTCTTTGCGTAACATCTGTTGGCAAACGAAACATACCTACCTCATTGTTTTGGATGCTTTTGCATAAACAGCAAGTATCTGGCATTTAAACAATTTTTTTTTCGTGTGTTGGTGTTGGTTGATTTTTCCGACAGGGTGGTAAGATGATTTATTTTGGAACGAATTTCCGTCATCCCTTGTCAAGTTTGGTTTGCAGACAAACCGGTTTCGGCGTTGTGCCATCTTCAGTGTCATTTTTCGTTCTGTCTGGTTCGAGATTTGTCCCTAATTTATGTTCATTTATCTTAGGTAATGTGATTTTCGTCGATGATTAATTACTAGATATGCCATGGTGCCCATTTTTT